TAGATATTGTCTTTATTCAAACACAGTAAACCAACCGTGAGAAAATCTTCAGATCAACGGTAAGGTGAGCTCAAAAAATGTTTTGAAGAAACGGCTATGCGCGGCACGCTCCAGATGATTAATGTGATTCTCACGCGCCACAGACATAGACATTTGCCCCAGATGAGCAAATAGCAATTTCGCCATCCCATCTAAAAACATTTGTAACACGTATTCAAACTATGACGGCTGTGACTCTCAATGACTCTGCTGAAGCAACGGCTATACACAAAGGCTATGTCGCTGATTCTCCTAATCGAATGAGCGATTTCGTGAGTCATGCAAACAGGTGGCTGTTCCATAAAAACCATCCTCTCGTGCTTGTCACATGGAACAGACAAGGAACAAAGTAAAGCATCGCTCTTCAGGGGGAGGTTCGACGGGCTCATCCGCGCATAGCCACTAAGGAAGCCATGAAGTTTGGCATGAACCACGAAACGGTCTGCAAACAAATTTTAGTGGGTTATTCTAAAATCCTGCCTAGTGATCTTTACCATCCACATTGGCTGGGAAGCAGTGCCACTGTTCAGCAGGTCGAAGCACTTCTCCGTGGAAGCCAGTGATGGCCACTGATTCAAAACCAGGTACCTGTTCATATTCAAGTAACATGGCTGCTCCACAGCAGCGTACATCTCCCGTGCTCTAAGAAGACAGAGTATAAAAGGACAACCAACCAGAAGAAAGATGAACTGAAATCACGCACCAGGGTTTTTGCCCCTAGCTGGTCAACGAGATGGCCCAAGGACGTTCTGTAACTGGCATAACGGTCCTCGTCAACAACAAAAACATGATGATGATGATGATGATGCGTTCCTACTGGTGATGAAAGACACTGGGGGTAGAGAGCTTCAAACACATCGCACGAAATGTTTTGGTGATCAGAAACACAATCGGTACCTGTGATCTTCTTCGGGAGAAATTTCCACATTCTTCGCTTTACCGTCTTTTGCGTCGCTGTTCGATGATTTTCGACTGAAACCGAAATAGAGGTCCAAATCGATACTTTTCTGGTTTAGCAAAAAACTGAACAACGAGGGAGTAGATGAACATCTCGAACGTCTCGAAGGCCCGTGGCCTGAGAATATGGATCGAAATCACGTCATCATCCGGATATCATACGGATAAACCGTGTTTTGTCCGTACTAAAATTAATTAGTAAAATTAATTAAATGTATCACACAACGACAAGCGCTTTATGGATAAAGGCCAACTAAACCAAATCACACAAATTCAAAAAAATATTCAACTGCTGTCATTAATTGTCTAAAGTAATTTCATCAATATTCTAAACTGTGTTTTAAAGGAATAATAATTCAGTTTTCAGGCATCGCTGCGTTACCCATGGATCGGAGGCTACCAACTGCACGATGCCGCAAATAGAGTTTTCGATCCCCTACTTTTGCTATACCACTCATTTGTCGAATTTCTATGGGAGACAGTCAGAAATGACCAGTCCAGCGACCTGTCGAAATGTCGAGCCGAATATCGGCTAACCGTTAAAAACACTCATCATCTGCTTGGCAGTCTCGACAGTCTGCTGAACAGCAACACCACTGTCGCATATGAGTACGAACCGAGACCGAAGTGTTCCCTGGTCGACCCGCTGTGCAAATCCGACTATTTGTTCTGCTTCGGCATGACCGTCAGCTGCATCAGCAAGATTCGTCTGGGCGGAAACTGTAGTGGCTTCGAGGAAGAACCGGACGCTTGCTATGGTTCGTTCTGTTTCAACGGTCAGTGCAACATAATTGACGATGAAATGGTGCAACCAGAGGTGAGTCGACCTCACGAGTCCGATAGCGAGGTCAACGTCGGTCAGAAAGAAAAAAAATGCGACTGTTTGTGTAACATTTCAAGACCTGCCACCCCTCCGGCCGAAAAGTTAGCCCATCACGATGCCAAAAATCCAAATGCCAACGTGCCGCACCAGGTGTGGTTCACGGTCACGGTGCTTTCTGGCCTTCTGCCGGCGAAAACAAAATACCGCGTGATGGCGAACGTCGAAGTAGAAGGACTAACGTACGAAGAAAACTTCTCAGGAGTAGTTTTTGAAAGGTACCTACCCACAGACGCAAATTCGAGTAACATATTTGAAACAGAGCTGTTTCGGTTTTTAACTCAAAATCAACATGAATCGAAACTGCAGTAATGAATCCTTTGGCATCGAATTGACCTCCATTCTTTCTACTCTTCTTCCTTCCTTTTTTTCATTCACAATCATCAAAAATTCATAATCATCATCTTTGCAATATTCTCTCTATTGCTATTTTTCTTTTCTCTCCACGATTATCAAAATCACTACCACCGCTTTCTTGCCATGTATACTACTTTCTATTCACATTGTCTTTCTTCACCTTCGCCATCAGCGTTTACAGACTTCTTCTCCTCGTTTTACTCCTTCAACTTCCTTCTGTCCTTCTTCCTCCTCTACTTCAGCATCATGTTATCTTCTTATCCACATTTTTCATCATAATCGTGGTCGTTTCATTATCATCCTTTTCTTATTGTTCCTCTCGTTGTAATTTCTTGTCCTCATCGCCGGTGCTACCCTCACTACAGTCATCATCATGATCGTTTTTAAGTAACGAATATCTCGCTGTATTACATCGACTTCTCACTCCTTAGGTGCTTAGGGTACGGTGCAATTTTAGGAGGCCACAACTCAATGATGCATAAGCACCTGCAGTGTCAGAATAATCTCGCATAATTATGTTCGCTCGCGTTTATCATCAACGATGTTTCAATTTCTGGTACTCCTTATATGCTAACGCAGAAACATAAAACGTTTCATAAACCTGGTTTTGCAAGAATCATGCGCACTTGACCTACTCCAGTATGGAATAATTCGATCGTGCGTTAGTGGTCATATTGAAGAAAAAAACAGTGTACTTCAGAGTATGAACAAATTCAGATGTCTATACAATTTTTGCACTACCTTTCTTCTCCAATTATTTTATACCTTCCTTTGGCCAACCAATTTTTCTTGCATAGTTTCTTCTCCTCCATTCATTTTCTCGCTGCCCTTCTTCGTCTATTTCGTTCCCTTCTTTCGCGCGTCATCATGATTATAATAATCGCTTTCGTTTCATACCTCAGTTCATTTTTTCCATTACAGCTCTCCAGCATCTCATATTATTCACTTCACTTTTGCTTTGATTTTAGTGTATCCCTTTTCTTCTCACTTCTAATGCTGTTAAACGGTTATATTCCAAGCATCCATTTCTGTAATCAAGCATAAGCAAAATTACAGTTGTGTTGTTTTCAAAACAGCTGTATGTGACGCCAACTGACTGCTCTATTGATGAGACTTGTCATACCACTGACAGAGGGTTTGAGTTGATAGCCCTCAGGGGATAATTTCGCTTGCCGAACACAGTTTCATTACAACTGTCGTTCTTCGACGATTATTCAATCAAATAAAGGACGAGGATTACGGTAGTAGAAGGCAACCTCAATCCAGCACGATATGCACTATTCTGAGATACTGAGTGGAGTCCGTACTGATGCTGGACATTCATGTGATGGTGGTACCTGTTCATATTGATCTCAATTCGTTGTGAATAATCAGCCTCAGAACGCACTTGCAACAGTCCAAATCTGAGCAAGCTCCAAAAGCTAGATTTTAAAAATCAGCAATGAAAGGTGGTCATTACAAACGAATCAACTAGTCTTTGATATGACTGCCTACAACATGGCTTGTTAACGGAGTCATAGCACACATACAAGCCAAGAACAGTGTCCAAAATAAAAATATTTAACGATCGTTTCCCTAAAAAATTAATACAGAAAAGAAAATGAAATTAGGATGGTAAGCGATACCAGCAAACTCCACACTCCCTTAATCATACATTTACAAGTAGAATAAAATAGACTAAAAAGG